TACACATCTAGTTTACAGCGGATAATGAGATCTGCAAGCACAGGACAGAACGGGTTAATTATGTTAACGATAACCAGCCCAGCTCCCCTTGCATTCCAAAGGGAAACTCGGTACAGAGCAGAACCTTTCTGTCAGCATAGAGCAGTGATGGCGAACCTTGGCACTCCAGCTGTTTTGGAACTACAAGTCCCATGAGGCATTGCAAGGCTCTGACAGCAACAGACATAACTCCCAGAGGCAGATGCATGTTGGGATTTGTAGTTTTGGCACAGCTGGAGTGCCAAGGTTCACCACCGCTGGCATAGAGCATGTACTGTGCAAGCAGAAGTTTAAAAAAATTACTTATGCGATGTGAATGAGGAACATGTAACAAATATAAAGTAGGTGTTATTCCAATTTGGCTGCAAAAGTGGAAACACACTTTAACTTTAAGGATCACTTAAAGACACGCCATCCTTACATGTCCCGATGCCCGTTTGTAGAATCATCACTGCACTGTTGAGCAAAGTCGTCTGAAGGCTCTTCACATCTGATACAGTTCCAGGTGTGTAGGACGCCTGCGCCCCCTGTAGCGTGCCATGGATCCTCCAGGCGACCCCTGTATCCTGTAGCGATGCAGGGGTCAGTGGGAGGAACACGGGCATTTCACATACCCATAAATGTGCCAGATATGAAGATACTTTGGGTGGCTTTGATAAGCGATGGAGCAAAGTTTCTATTAATGGGCCCCGGGACAGGTACGTATAATGTGTCTTTTTTAACAGGAGCCTTTTGATTCTTGTTCAACAACCAAGTCGCTTTCAGAACACATGAACCCTTTGCAATGTTTCATGAATCCTGGGGTAAGTGTTACCCTGAGAGTAAGGCACAATGACAAGTATTTTATACTTCTGGGTGAACACCGCAAGGGCTCTCCTGGGAAAGAGTTGCAGTTCAGCAGCGAGTTTGTATTATTATAATGTTTTGCTTTTGTTCTTGAAATGTCTTTATGTTTTTTTTCCCCATCTCTGTGTGCTTTGCTGGACTAAGCTTTGTTGTAACTGTGACAAATAACTTGCGTGCTCATTGTCTTTGTGTTACGTCATTTCATTTGTAATAAACAAAACATTTTTATGCCAGCTGTGTGTAGCTCCCTTTCTAACACCAATTATAAAAAAAATCCATGTGGCCGTGTTGTGCAGTGGCAGGTCAGAGGGGCTTTGACGGTCCAGTGACCTTA